GCTCACTCCGGGATGTTTCTCACCAGAAGCCAAACATTAAATGTGCTCATTGACCTCTGAGGACTTGACACATTCCTCTATGTTGAACAAGACTGTGCAGCAGTGCAGCATAGGGAAGCATCTGCCTCGTCACTCCACCCAGATGGCAGCAGAAAGTATGTAAATTGGTTCATTAACCTTACAGTGCTTTAACCAGTGGGCCATGCAAAAGGCTTATTCAATCTAGGCTTTCTTGAATTTTATTAAGGCCCATTAATAACATCAGGGAACTTCTGCTAATGGCCGGAGGTAGTTTTCTGTGGCGATATCAAACACTATAGTAATTATACGTGGCATCCTTCTGATTAACACTTCTGTGATTATTACACCATATACAAATCCCATTTACTCCCGTTTCAAAGATAGTTATCTATCTTATGGGTTGGAGGAAAAAATATATGACAGCAGTTACCCAATCCCCACAAGCAGGTTTGGATCTTTAACCCCAGACAATAGAGAAGCATACCAAAATAGCAGGGGGTGAAAATGTGAAAGGGAGCTGCGATTTTATGTTGCATTTCCCCCTCTTTATGGAGTGTGTGTGAGGAATTGGCTTGCAGTGTGTGTGTGAGCTGCCAGGAGTGAGGGCTTGCACCTGGAGCAGGGAGGAGCAAGCAGAGGGGCCAAGAGTCACCTCGTGGGCTAAACAGGATCGGAGTTCTCCCTCTTCCTAAGGAGGCCAGACGGCCCCCGGGGCTGCATCTCACAAGAAAGTCTTTCACGCCCCCTTCCTTCCTTTTCCCCCTTCTCTCCTTCCTCTCCTGGTCACTTCCTTTCCTATTCTCCTTTGGAAAAAGGCACAGTAATCCATAACCCACTCAACTATCAGCAGCTCAATTATCCCTCCTGTTCCTCTATTTTCTCCCCTTGGATGGAGATTCAAAAATAATTAACCTCTTCACGGCAGGGGACTTTTCTCAGGAAAGGACATGATTGTAAATTTAAAGACTCCAACATTTACATTCCTGACCATGACTTCACTCCTTCACGTCTAAATATGGTTACTAAAATTCTAATCGTGTCTAATTTTTCAACGTTAATACAATGGATGTTGTAATAGGAAGCTAAGCAATATTACAACCCTACGAAGAATTTAATCATAAATGAAATGTGTTGATGTTTAAAACAGAACAAAGGTCCTGTCTTATTTGTTTTGTTCATTTTTGTTGTTTTTCTTTTCTTTTTTTTTAAACAAAGTGTGTATAATATCTAGAGGTGCCTCCTATTCATCTCCAGGTAGAGAGCCTCAGAGTCTAGAAGGGAGAACAGCTGGTTGCACCAATTGAGCCTTTAATTACTCCCCGTTCAAAGGCTGGTAGCAAGAGACATGCCCTATGCCTCCTAATGCAGTGATGCAAAATTTCAAAAAACAAATCCAAAACAGGAGTGAGGATTGCGAATGGAGCTTGGTGACGGATTTTACAGACCCTCGTTCTTCAAAACATCCCATTTGAGAAGATTAAATTGTTGTTGAGCCCACCGCCCCCACCCGCCCCCCCCCCCCCCCCCACACACACCCTCTTCCAGCTGTTTGAGGATAATCCTCCAACAAACAAGTTTATCAAAAGGGAGAAACAAGAAAAACAACTGGTAGCCTGCTAAAAATATCTCCCTGTCGAACAAAGACCCTGACAGTCGGTTTACTACGAGGCAAACTAGCTAAATGTCTAGCTAACCTGTCAGAATTGGAATGACGTAATGCACAATCAACAGAGAGGGTAAAACAAAGAGCCATCTAAATCTGAATCAGTTCATGTCCACCAACATTGATCTTAAAATTTACATATTTTTGTATTTCATGTATTTGGATTTCAAATGTCACAAGACCTTATCTATCAGCTCAATGATGCCATATCAACGGACATCTTTTTAATGTCTATTTCAGGCCCAGTCGTCTTAAATCTAATGTAATGTTAACTTTAATGTAGCAAATGTTTTTGTGAGTCAGGTTTTTCCAAATCTGGCTTAATCAAAGACACAAAGTCAAGCTCATATCAACTGGATTCAATACAAACACTATATTAATCCCTTTATATGAAAAATAATTGTGTTTTAAGCACAAAGACATCAACTGAGGTCTTCATATGGACATTTTTTAAAATACAAAACATACCACTGTAAGAGCTTCATAGAGACAAAAAGTTGTTTTTTCATGAAAGGGAGTATTCTACTAATACTAAAAAACGTTATTATTTAAATATTTTTTATACTGATGTTTTTAAACCTTAATAAATCTAACCAAAATCACGTCTAACATCCCAACCAGCCATTTTCTGTGAAGAAAACTAGTTTAATATGGAGTTAAGCCAACAATATTTTTAGATTTAAGCAGCTAAAAGACCTTAATTAAAAACTAAAAGACAGCTCCCACTAAACCCCTTTTACATCATATTTAAGGTTGACAAGTTTCTGTGTTTATTTAGAAGGAAAAAATGTAAAAATTGGAGACACATAATAAGGTAGGTGTATGATAGGCTTAGTTAGCCAACTGGTCAACCCCAATCACACGTTAAATACATTTATACTTCAATGGTTTATTCAAGTGGAAACTGTTTCAACCTTTCATTTCTCAACAACAGAACATTGGGATACCAAGGAGTGATGTCTTATTCATATTTGTTCAATTCGATCTTACTTATGGTGTCCGAGCCTCAAAGCCATACAAAACAGTATCTGTTCAAGAGATTAATCACTCAGTTGAAAGATGAAACTGTGCTTCAGGAATAATAATACTAAAAATAATATATATTATATAATAATAATATGTAATATATATAGGGTATATATAGGGTATTTGCTGATTTATGACAAAACCCCTTCAAACACTGAACATCCATGAGGTCTGTTCTAATCTTTTTAGCCTTAATAAGCAGAAAGTTGGACTTTTCTTTTATCTTACATGTTTAGATTTCACCATTAGCCAATATGATGAATTTAAATTATCTTTTGCCTTTATTCAAACCAAAAAAGTATTTATTTATAGACTTTTATTTTTCCCAACCACCTCTACATGTGTTTTTGAGATGAAAAGTAATGTTATCTTTTCCATGACTATTCCACAGAACTCTGCTCGGGGCAGGCCATTGTAACGGCTTCTCTGCACCATCAATCAGTCTTTGTTCTACAGATAAGAGTACTGAACTTAGACTTAAATCACACTTAACGTCACTTTATGAATAAAGACATTCCTGTGTTTTATCACCCATATTCCCCATTCACATTTTAAAAAGGCAAAAATAAGAACTTAATGACAAAAAAAAAAAAATAATAGATCAAACTATGACGTGGTCGCTGTGAACACATAATTGCAAAAAATATGATATCGGACAAATAATGTAAAGAGAACCACAGGGTAAAGTGTCTTGCCTGAAGAACACAAGTAGATCCTGCCTCAGACAAAAACACAATAGAAGACAGAAGAATTCTTTGATGTTTCCTCATGAGTGTGTGTTTGTGTGTGTGTCTGTTACAACTCTGTGAGTCACCCACTTTCATCCAAGATCCATACAGGCTGCACGGCGACAGCAGCAGTAGCACTGAAACCACAACCCTTGTGCATGCGAAGACAAAACACTCACAAACAACATAGCGTGTCTTGATTTGGGATTGTGGAGCGAGGGACGGGCAGGGCAAGCCAGGCCAACAGGAGAACAGGAGTGAGGAAGAAGAAGAAAAAGGAAGGCGGAGAAGATGAAAACCTAAAACAACTGGCTGTACTACAGACAGACTGAAACTTCACTTGATCATTATGTCTAGCCTTCAGGTGTCTAGGGTCGGCGCACTGTAGGCAATAGTTAGGGTTAGAGGGAGGATGGGGTGGGTGAGAACAGATAACACAGCAGCCAGACAAAGAGGGAAATAAGAAGCACTGCCTACATACCACAAGCATCAAGAAGCAGAGGGTGGGAGTCAAGGGAGGGAGCGACAAGAAGAGAAAGAGGAGGGTTATAAAAATTTGATTAGACGATCCTCTGCTGAAGTGACTTTCTGTGTCGGGTTTGCTTTTCTTTCTTTCTTTTTTCTCCTTCCCTCCTCTTGCTTGTTCCCCTCCCTTTCGTGCTTCTCCAGACCGCTGCCTGAGAGAACGGAGCAGACAGATTTTATAGGTCCTAATTAAAGCCATCTGAAGCCTTTCAAAACATCAAATGGCCCCGATCCCCGAGTCTTTCCCTCTGATTGTGTGGTAGGTACAGAAAAAAATAAAATAAAAAAAATAAGGGCATCTATTTTTTGCCTTGACTCCAGAATGGACATACATTTTGTAGTCCCTCTTCCCTCCATTGACCCCTAGAACCCTCTAATTTCCAATCAATAAAAAGGTTCACTGAGTGGCATGACCCTTTTAAGATGAAATCCAATCCAATTAAATTTGATACTTATGAAATTTCATTACATAAATGAGGGTAAGAAATAAACTTTTGCTTTTAATTTTGATATAAAAATGACAATCCATCTTAATCTTTGTTAGGCGGTTGGAAGTGAAGTACAGACCTGTTTCAGTGCGCCTCCATCTAATTCTCCTGTTGGCCCCTCTAATTGTCCTCATTGAGCCGTGTGGCCCGGTTGCACAGCCTGCCTCTATGCCTGACTGGGGTCAACGGGTTTACTGTGTGCTTTTTATCTATATTTCATTCTATGGCGCTGCGCGGAGACAGCCACACATTCACAATGAGGACATTCACAGAGACACTCACAAAGAGTTCCAAAAACAGAGACAGGAACAAGAAATAAATGAATAAAAACATCATGTTAGTGAAACATTAACCAAGTCAAAATGTGTTATGACATATTCACACGTGCGCGTTTTTTTTTTTCTGTTTGAATGAGGAATAAAAAGAGAAGCCTTTGCGCGCAAAAGTGGAACAAGGCAATCAGTTGAAAACGAAGTCGGTAACAAATCAATACTTTTGCGAACAAAAGCAATCAGAGAAAAAAATAAAATATCATATTTAGACACTTACAATTTATTTAAATAACTTGTGGGTGTTGTTGTCTCGACGTCTGCATTCCCCTCGTCTCGACAGCAAAAAGTCTCCTCCAGCGGTGAAAGCCGCGTTCGTTGTGCGCCGTCAGGAGCGCTTCATCAGCCTCGTTGCAGGGAGATAAAAGTTTTTCTAATATTAAAAACCTGGACGTTCAATTGCAGGGAGCGGAGAGCAGCGCGGACGTCCGGTTCCCTGCGATGTCAGGTCTTCAGTGATGCCAGAGCTGGCCGGGATTGAGCGCCTGAAAGGACTGGAGAGCGCACGGAGAGGCGTCATGTGAGCAGGGGGCGCTGCGCCATTGGCCAGCAGGGTAAAACTGTGATAAGGCTACCCTGCGCACCATTGGTTTAGGACGGACGCGGAGGCGCCTCCTTACTTGACTATGCACAAGAATGTGAGTTTGAGTCTTCATAATTTTCAACATGGCAAGAACGGGTGGGGGGTTGGCGGTAGGAGTCCATAAGTAACAAATTGGTGCTGAGATCTTTTGCCTTTTTATCCACTTCTTTGCGTCTTTTGGTCATGGTCAAAAGGGGGAATAGATACCATCCTTTTTCTGTCTGGTTTCCTTTATAAGTGCATATGTCAACTGTAAAATACTTAGAAGACTGCAACAATTAAAGAAAACTTAATGTACTGCTCTCTCATTTAATATTGCTTAGTTTTTTCTTTTTTTTAACTTGCGTTTGTTGAATGAATGGCAATCTAATTTTGCTTATCGATTTCTATTGGAGTAACATAAACATTAATGTTTTATTGCATGAAATACAAACAGCGTTTCTAAATGAGACCTTATTTTGGAGGATGCATTTTAATAAAATATAAGAACACTGTTAAAAATAATGTATTTCAGCTCTAAAATAGACCAAATGAAATTTGTATTAACGTTACAGTAAAGACAAATACAAATGTTTTAACTTTTCACCAACGTTTAAGATCTCTGGGTTCATTTGATCACCTAATCAGTTTCTTACAATGTCAAAAAGAAAATGTGAAATTGATTTTTGACACATCTTTTATAAAGAATCCTCTCTTAAATACAAATAAAGTTTTAAGCCATTTTAAAATGTCTAATCCCACCGATTAAAGGACCTCAAAGCAGATTCTAGATCAGGATTTTAATCTAACACCTGTATATACATACAACATACATATACATCAGGCAAGCTGAATATGACCATCAGAATGGGAAGAACATGGCATACTGTAGTTTTTTGTGCAAGAAAGGCATTACTTCGTTTCATGAACTGAATCTGACCTGAATAGGCATTTTTGCAGGTTAAAGAAAGCTGGCCAATAAATATAACATTTAAATATGACTGGCAGTTATGTTGAGCAGATGTCAGGGATCAGAACAGCCTGCTTCGTGTCAAATTAGAGAGGTGTAAAAGCAGCTTAAATAAAGAGTAGCTACATCCAAGACATGCAAAGACAAACAAAAAAACACAAATAACATGCCAAATGAAGGTACAATCAGAAGCAAGATTATAATGGCTACAGTTCAAAGTCTCATCAAAGCAGGACAACAGCAGACTGCTTAAAAAAACTGCAATTAAACTTAATTTTGAGATTTGAAATTTAAATTATAGTGTTGATATTTGGAGTAAAAACAAGAATTTGGTTTGATGTCTGTTGTGCAGAGTATTCTGTATTCAGCCATGGTCTGTTGGGCTAGCATCATCTGAGCACTTGACTTAAAGCTGCTCATCAAGCAAATTAAGGAGGACTCCTCTATTCCTGAAAGTCCTCCTCTGGAGATGAATTACAATATATAATCTTTCAGGTTATATTAATTTCAACAATGAGGACTTTTCTTTTGAGAATAGATACACATTTTTGAATTAAATTGTATGTTTTATACAGAAAAACAGATTTCTAATTTCACTGAGTTATTCGACTGATTAAATAATGGACACATACATACATATTTGGAGATACCTATAGACAGAAGGAAAGACAGACATACATATAAATGTCTACCAAGATATCCGCACTGTCTATGCTACACCTTGTTCTATTAATGCCAAGAAGACCTAATGTGGTTGTGAAGTAAAGTAGGTCTAGGTTAGTATAATAAAGTAGTAAAGCAGTTTTCAAACTTGTCTTAATTATTGTAGATAATAATAACAAAAAGCATTAAATATACTGCATGTTTCTTAGCTCAATAGGGACATTTAGTAGTTTTCTTTTCATGATGGTCGATCTTGTATGTGGCTATAAATTTTACATAATTAAAAATGCCTGTTTATTTCTCTTTTAAATTGTTTCATTACTTTAAGTAAATTGTATTCGTAACCGCAGCAGCAGAGTTTAGCATGTTGGTGTAGCATCTCAGCCACTGATAACATACTGCAGGTATGTGCATAAAATGCAGTTAGCACACACAGTGAGCTGTATAGACTATGCTGAAGGTCAAGACAAATATTGTCATCATATTGGTTTTGCTTTGGAATTAGTCTAGTCTAAGAACTGCAGATTTTAAACTACAACTCAAATGCAGTATAGAATTCTCCATACATGCATAATGATATTTCACAGAGGGAAACTACATAAAAGAGCATCATCTCCAAATATCTCTATGGTCCTCCAGAGTGTGGAGACAGAGGAGCTCAAGAGAATCCTGTATGGGTGGGAAATAGAGCGCATGTAATCTGGAGCACGCATCTTCCCCCTGCTCAGGGTGCAGCATTAAATCGATATTCTGCAATGCTTTCCCTTGTTTTCACATTCACTTGACTGCTGCTGTTATGTGCCGTAAGGGTCGCGCAGCCTCTCCCTGATTTTTGTGGCACTTGCCTCCTACCCTTTATCCCCCTGTACTCTCCACTTCCCTCATCTGCCTCCTCCACCTCCTCCATCGCTTCATTTCTCTTCAGATCCAGACCCCCTCATTTGGTTAGCTTCAAGGCGATACTCCTGTTCCGTTTGTCTCCTGTGTTAACGCGAAGCGGCAGAAATAAGGCAAGACGTTATCTCTGTACAAAACATTATCTCCGCTTGGCTCTTCCAACACCGTGAAACAGTGATTATTAACTGCTTAAGGAGCATGTTTAAGGGTTTTGAGGCTTGTTTGCCACACTTAAAAAACATGAAATATATTACACACGCTATGCACAACATCTTTACATTTTGTGTGGCTGATTACAACACTTCCTTTGTTTTTACTCCTTGTTAAGTTTTTTCTGCCCTTAACATCAAGGAAATATGGCTAACAGAGTTGTTACAGGACACATCAGTAGTAATTCTCAACAGACACTAACCTATGATTTCATTTCAAGTTTTAAAAGCTTGTTGTGCAGCAGCAGCAAGGTTACACCATTTACGCATTCATACACTTGCGTGTTCCCTCATGCTTTGCCGTTATGAAAGCAAAGCTCTGCAAAATGGGTCACATACACTGCAGTGACTTTATTTCAGCAAATGTATTGTGCTTGGGTGAATGTGTGAGTGGTAGACATTTGAATGTGTGATTGCACATCAAAGGCAAAAAAAAGGGGAGTATTGCTAGGAATCTTTGCTGAAACAGGACTTAAGTAAAGTCAAGCCAGTGAATGTTTTCATCGGTTGGAAACCTTTGTGATTAGAGCTTGCCCAGAGAGCTAAAATTTTCCTCAATTTTTAATACCTTCAAACAGCCAAGAGGAAGATGCCAACATTCAAAAAAGATAAACTCCAGTAGTATCATTTTTATTTTTCTGCAGTCACCCAGAATGGCTAATACTATAACTGATATTTTTCCAAGTAGTGGTGCATTTAAGATTCTCTCCAAAGACAAAAGATCCATCTTTTTGTTTATCTGTGGGGTTCAAAGCATTGTTTAATAAAAAAAAAAAAAAAGAGAGAAGACAGCTCTGTCTGCCGTATTAAACAACACTGGTTCCTGTACAGGCTAAGCTGTGTTGTGTTGTATGACTATTCTAAGACCAATGTTTTGGCATCAGAATAATTATCTGGGATGAAGGGAAGCTTTTCAAAGATTTTTACTGAATCTCATTCTTTTATATTGATTTTTTGACTTGCATTCTAAAACAGCTGTTCTCATCTTCCCTGCCCCAATAATACGACCCAGTGCTATTATAAGTTGTTTAATATGTTGGTTGATAATCTGTCATGATTTTATCCAAAGATCTGACCCACATGCAGAAAACCAAACAGAGAGACCAGGGGAAGGTTTAACAGGTTTATTGTAAGTTGGTAGAGAGGAGTCCAGTGCTGTTCTGAACACAGGCAAACCGGGAGTTTCAGGAAAAAGGTGTCTTTCTTTGAATCCAGTCGGTTTGGGTTGTTCCAGTAATAGACTTGTTCGTTAGAGGGCGGACAGGGTTTAGATTTCCCGTGGTACTTGAACCGTTTCTTGTGGAGATGAATCCCCTGCTCAGAGAGAAGCCAAAACAATCCTTGGGGAAAAATAGATCCAAACCACCAGTTTGAATCCTCAGCTCAGTTTGACTCTCAGAGAATCCTTCCAGGGGGAAGAAGGTCCAAAACATCCAGTTTGCAGGATGACTTCCCAAAACTGGCAAACACTCTGGCGTTGAGGTAGTGGCATTCAGCAGCTTAAGAGTCCTCCGGTAATGAGGCAACCATCCGCAGGTGTCTGAGAAGGCCAACAAGAACAAGGCGCCACCTGGTGGTGGAGGAAAACAAACAAACAACACAACCCACACAAACTGGATTCCTAACATAATCGTGTCAAGGTTCACCAAGATTGTATTCGCAAATATCCAAGAACTTGAGACAGGCGATCACCGGCTCTTTAGAGTTTCTCCATTATGTGAAATTAACACCAAACTGTTTTGTTGTGAAACAATAGTTTAAATTTAGTTAGCAGTGATAAGTGCCAAGGATAGTTAAAAATAAAGTTGTCTTGATGCAACACAAAAGTTGCATCAAGACAAATGTTTTGTCTCTACTCTAAGAGACTTTGACACTGTGAGAAGGTCCAGAAAGAATCAGCTTTATAAACAATTCCTCCACATATTGGATCACCAAGTTATAGCAATACAGTGTAAATTTTAACCTGTGTTAGGTTATTTTGCTTTAAATATTAAGTTATTTTTCTGGTCAATACACAGTGGGCTGCAGTTTTTAAAAAGTTGGCTGTGCAACACCACCCAAACACCACTTTACAATTGTCTGAGTTTCCCTTAAACATGAGAGCTTAACCAAGAGGTTGTTGTTTGGTAAAAAAACAAAACAGATACAACACTTCCCCTATCACATATATTTTTGGTTCGCTGATATAAGAGTTGATC